AACCTTAAGACATGGGTTATGTGGTTTCACCCTACTTGTGCTTGATAGGTAGTTTCATGCATTGAGATTATATAAATGTCATGGACTTGTTGATTTTTGGAAGCTTGTAAGGATATGAAATGTTTGATGGCTAGGGTTTGGATCTAGTATGGAGGGTAAGAATTCTCCTAAGTCATAGTGCGCACTAGGTTGTACCTTGTGGGTCATAATTACCCGAAATAACTTGTATGGTCTCGTGGCCACATATCCTAGTCTTTCCATTATTTGATTTCGTATTACTTTCCAAGTTGTAAATCATGGATTTCTTGTAGCTTGTGATTTGGTAATCTTAGTTTTAAATGCATTAGTGTACTTGTTTAATGTATACTTGGATGCCATGTGCTTATCATTTCAAACATTAGTATAGCGTGAGATGATCCCTTAGAGTGCCTTGAAAACATAGACGTTAGGTGGAATGCACCCTTGTGATGGTCTATATTTGGTTCACATTATACTTGAAACTATAGGGTATGCACATGCACAACATCCTACGAGTAACTTGATTACTCACCCAAGTTGTTTGGTTTAATTTTCAGGTAAAGAAGCTTTGTTGTAGGATGCACAACACTCTTAGGATTACTAGTCTACTTGGAGCATTTTTGTTATGTGGGATATGCACTTGTTAGCATATCATGCTCTATTTTTGTTTATTTTGACAAAACATGTATCTAATATTCAAACTATGTAGTGTACACTTAAGTGCACTTTTTGACTCTCTTTAGATATGTATGTAATAAGGCCAATGGCCAAAGACACATATATGCCATGTATGCTACTTTATCTTTATAGTTTGTATGTAGAATTTAAGGGATTTCATCCATTGAAGGGTCATATTTTGCATATGACATCCAATGAGACCGTAGGCCATTGTAGCGCGTCCACATTATCATTTTACGTATGCGTGCATGTTTAAAATCCACAAAACTCTTATATTTCAACTTTTGAACTATTTATGGATGAATTATGCAAATTTAAGCAAAAATGCATGCATTGAGGTAGCATTCAAAGCTTCGTTTTGATTTAGCATGTTTTAGATGCTTGCATGAGACTAGGAAGTGTTTTGAGACCTGTTTGTATCATTTAGGAAGCATGCATAGCCTTAGAACCAAGCCAAGCTTCTTTCCCATGGATCACAGCAGGTTACAGTAGCTTTTTCTGCTGCTGCTAAGCCCATCAGTCGGCTGATGATTGTCTCGCACCATTCCAGTAGCCATTTTTGTGAAAATTAGAGTTTCAGTTGGCTGATGATTGGGGTTCGGCTGGCTGATCATTGAGTTTTGGTCAGCTGATGATGAGGGTTCAGCCGGCTGATCCTCCCTGAATCTTGGTTTACTTTCAGCATCTCGGACAGATTTCTTGGGTCAACTTCAGAGGGCCATAACTCCTTCATTTCTAATCCAAATCAGGTCATTCTTGAGCCTAAACTCAAGATCTTGAAGTCAGATTTCCACTGATACCAATTATACTCAAAAAATACAACTGTAGTGAGAGTTATACCAGTTTTAGTAAGATAGGGTAGTGTTGTCTCTTAAACGAAGGATGCCACTTCGTTCTAAATTCATATCTTTTCGATCCGGACTCCGAATCAGGTGATTCTTGAGTCTAAATTCATTAATTTTTCGTTGTCCTTCTAATGGTATGCTTGGTAGCATCCATTTCTCTATGAATTTGCCATTTTTTCCCTAGGTTCATTCTTGATTATTTTTGAGACGTCGTTTCCGCATTCGTTTCCTTTGGGTTTTGTGATTTCTTTGAGGGTCACATTAGTGTTCTATGGATGTGTAATATCTCTTAAAACCATTCCGCATTCGGGATTCATCATTGGATTTACGTTCCGTTCATCTTAGGACGCACTGGCCTAAAAACCAGGGCCGTCATATTAGAACATCCCCTACCTCACTAGAGAAGAGTCTTTCTAGAATCCAAGAAAAATCAACACAAAATGACAAACCCTTCAAGGGTTATGTAGAGGAGGATGAGGGGAACACAAAGTGTTCCAAGCTTCATGGTCTAAGGTGAGTGGAAAGCCTTCAAAAATCAAGGTCAAGGCCTAAGGCTTCAAGCTCCATCCATGGAGGCTAGGGTTTTCTTTATAAGAGAAAGAAGATATATAAATTAAGTGTGATAGAATGTGTGGAGGAAATAGAAATCCTCCACTCACTATGTGGTTTTACACCAAAGTCAACACACACAAGTCTTGGTCAATTGCATAAAAACCCCTCTTTAAAACCATAATCGCAAAGTAGCCCAAAAATAATTGTAAGACTAAATTGTGAGCCTACATTTGTCACAAATCAAAGGCTCCATCCTAGGCTTAATCTTAAGCCTACACTTGTCAACCATCCAAGCCAACAAGTGCACCTATCCTAGGCCAACAAGTGGGTGAATCTCCACATTCCACATGTCATCATCCAAGGCATCAAAGTGTTTCCACACAAATGTCAACAAGTGGACCAATGAGAGAGTGATACTTGTCACACTTTTTGAAAATTGCAAAAAGGTCCTTTTTGAAAATATCTTCTAAATAAAATTGCAAAATGGTCCCTAAGACGAAAAATAATTACTTTACAGTAATTACACAAATGACCCCAAAAGAAAGAGAAATTCCAAAGAAGTATGCATCCACACCCCTAAAGAAGAAAGTACACAACTAGCATGCTTTTCTACAAAAGTAAAAATGCACATAGCATGAGATTTAAATATCGTGGATGCATGCAAAACCGAAATCAAATTTGAACACGAAAAGTGAGGTTATGCCAACAAAGTGGCAACCGAGAAAAAGACGAAAAATGAATAGTGTCACAAAAGTAAAAATGTGGAAATGACTCGGTCCTCAAAAGAAGTCATCAATCTAAGGAAAAGAGTCTCGGGAACCATTCCCGAGTACTCGAGATGACACCAAGAGACGAAAAACCGAACTCAGAAAGGAAAAAACAACGGAAAAAATTTATCCGAAAAATTTGAGGAAAAAAGAAAGGAAGAAAAATGAACGGGTCATTACAATTAGTACGGAAGGATGTATATATATATATGTGTGTGTGTGTGTTTATGATTAGTACGGAAGGATGTATATATGTGTGTGTGTATAATTAAGATTTATTATGGAAGATAATATATATATATATAAAATTAAGAATTATTATGGAAGGTAATACATATGTATATATATATATATTAAAATATATGTGTATAACATGATTTATAGGGTGTATGGTGAAAAAGACAAAATAAAAATAAAAAGAGAAAGACTAAAAAAAGAGGGATAATTTTATTGTGAGATTGTTCAATATTGAGGAAAATGTTTTGTTTAGGTTTGTGGGTGTGGTTTGCTTTGTGGTTTATTTTTAATTGGGTTAATTGCACTGATATCCCCCAGATTTAGATTAAAGACGGACATCTACAACATTGGCACTTTTTGGACAATGAAACCCCCTAGGTTTGGTAAACCAAATAAAGACACCCCAATCATAATAAAAGTACATACTTGCCCTTTGACTTTTAAATTGACCTACATAAATCATTAAATTACCTTTATAACCTCCTATTAATTGACCAAAAAATGACCCTCAAGAATGAAAAAACAACTAAAAGCCACCATCACCACTTCACAGCCCCATGACTGTGATTGTTACTTGGCTCTTCTGCAATGGATTTTCATTTTTGGTTTCAACTTGAATAGACTGCTACACTTTCTTCAAATCATTCAATTCTTGAATCAATCCTCCAATTAACACCAATAACCAAAGAATTTACAAAATCATAATCTCATTTTACAGACATATCAAAAGTTAACAATCATTCGAACCAAGAATCTTCAATGATGGCGATGGATGTTAACACGTCACATCCATCGAATTTTGATGCACCTATTGTTAAGGACTTTGTCCACATCGATGATCCAAGTCCTAACCCTCATCTTGAACGGAGAACAACAACACACACATACACATACATATATAGAGGGTAATCAAATAGAAGAACTATTTTATTTGATTTAGAGAGAAAAACAATACCCAGATTCACCTTTCATCTTTTTCCTACGATAATACACATAAATATATGTTTCCTTAATAATACTGAATTTATAGTATATAAGACTTTTTTTAAATTAAAAAAGAAAAAGAAAAAAGTTGAGCCTAAACGAAATACAATGCAATGCTTCAACAAAATTAGTTTGATACATCTAATATATGTATAATTAAAATTAAATTAGTTTGCCACATCTAATTACTTAGAGTCCTAAAGTCGAGAGAAGTCTATATTTAAAAAAGTACATGTACGAATTAAATTGTAAATTGTATGCGTAGAGACACCAATTCTAATTTTTCACCCAATATTCTGCTTAATATAAATAAATCTAAGCAGAGTATTGGGTGAAAAATTAGGATTATATATATATATATCACTCTAAATCATTATTAATTATGAAAAGAAAAAAATATAATAAAATTTTAATTTTGTATGCATGTATAAAACTATATACAATCAAAATAGTATTACATTATTATATAAGCAATTTACAATAGAAGGGAACTAACCTATTAATGAAGTTTGTGGAAGAAGTGGCATGGGCATAATAGGAAACTGAGATATGAAGGCGTCATTTTTACGGGAAAGTAAAATTTCTCTGTATTTTTTGCGAGAAGCATTTTGTGGAAAATTAAGCGGTTGCGAGAAAATTACTTCTAAAATTTTTTTCACGCTAACCAAACCCCCTAATAAATTTAAATTTTTTTTGTTTATTTTTCTTTCTATCTGCTTCATGCTAACCAAACGAACCCTTAAGTAAATTAGGCAGGTCCGTTAGTGCATTTGACGATCGATCACCGTGAGGGAAGGTCTGTGTAACAATGTTTCTTTTTTAGGATGTCTGTGTAATTTCTCAAATTATAGAGGTAGTTCCTATAATGATGACAAATGATAAGGCAGGTCTGTGTAATTTACCCAAATCATTTTAACATCCGCACACTTACACTACCCAGCAATTTGAGTTGACGAGCTTCGCAATTTTAGGGTTTTATTTGGTCCGCTCTGCTCTCTAACGTGTAGGGCAGGAGGTTTCACACTCCTATTGTTAACAAATATTAGCTTCCGAGCTGTGATTTTGCACAGGTATGTGTTCTTCATTTTTTATATAGGTGTTTATACATGTTTTCACACACACACACACACGTCATTTCAAACAAATATCAGCTACTTAGCTAGGCTTTGCATAGGTACGTCTTCTTCAAATTTTATATATGTGATTTATAATTGTTTTGCATATATGTTATATAAATACATGTGTGTGTAAATTGTGTGTTATTTTCTTTTTTATCACTCTTAATTTGTAGTAAAATTAAAGAAAAATGAGCACCACAGTACAGAGAACCCCCAAATCTGGAAGGCAATCGCTGTTTTTCCATGATTTGGCCACACCGGTTTCTGCTCGTAGAGGAGGAAGTGGAAAATTCACAACTCCAGGTCAAGCTGCGGCTGTTTCAGCTCTATGGCGTGAGAATTTTGCCAATTCCGATCTTCCACCTCCGCCAGTGTTCACCCTCGAAGACCGCTCTGACTTCTCGCCGGAATCTGGAATTCTGGACTACCCGGTATCACCAGAAGTCAAGTCGGACCCCAGAACGCCGGTGCAGAGCTCGGGCAGGGACTTTTTGACTCCGAAAAGCAAGTCTGAGGCAAGCACTTCGTATGCTGTAATGGGTTGGCAGCAGCAGAATCAACAGGGGACTGTGCCTAGTTTGAGTTGGTGGTCACCATCCAAGAGTGGTGGTCGTGGTGAGCAAGACGATAAGGGGAAGGGTTCACCTGTCGAGGGAGTGGTTCAGCCTGGCGCTTTGATCACACTTCCGCCCCCGAGGGAGGTTGCAAGGCCAGAGATGCAGAGGAATTCATTGCCTGTTGGAAACCTTGATGAAGAAGAATGGGTTACTGTTTATGGGTATTGTTTTAAATTTATATTTTTATTTATTTATATGTTGCCTTTGGTCCATTAACATTTGTGTTTAGACAGTTCTCATATAGATGCTTAATTTTGCCGAACAATCATGACAAGTTGTTACAAAATTATATGGTACTATTATGCTTGATGATGATAAAATGCCTGGTTGCAAACAAATTAGCAATTAATGTAGTTTGCAATGCCAATCTGTTAAAGGCATTTGACAATCCATCCCCTTTCAGATAAGGCATCTGTTACTAATTTGTTTTCCTATATTTCTTGTGTGGAAATTTGCCTTTTCCTTGATGGTATTAACTTCAAGTAGACCAATATCTTTCTCCACTTAGAGGGCGTATGCTATGGATGCTTCTTGCAGATGAAGAAGTTACATGGTGTTTTACATGACAGTCAATGGAGTCCTATTTTTTTGTTTTTTTTTTTGGTTCTTCTTAAAAATAAAAACATGTACATGCAATCTGTTATAGGATATTGTGAAATGAGATCATACACTTTACTCTCTCTCTCTTTTTTTTTTTTTTAACTCTTTTGTTTTCTCTTATTTTTCTCCTGTGTTCTATTATTTCTTTATTTATTTTTAAGTTCTAAATTACTTTTGTTAGATTTTGTAATGACTTTATTTTAACTGTTATTGTGCCTTCAAACGAGATGAGAATTCAAATGGGGGCATTTCATCCCCTTTGGAGTTTGGACTATCAGTTGCACTCCTTTGCTTTGGAATTTTATGGGAGAGATATGTATAATTATTTATGATTGGAAGTTGGCGCTTTTTGGCCATTTCATTGTATTTGAAAGGTATGCAAGTGTGTTTGAAGATAGGAAGAATTTCATCAATAAAATTGAGGAGGTCCTCTTATGTCTTTTCTTTTTCCTAGTTCTCTTATGTCCTCTTATGTCTTTGATTTTAAGGGTGTTAGGTGTTAATAGTTCTGTGAGAGTTTCTTTCAACTGTTTCTCAAGGGAAACCATTTGTCCTTGGAACTCCCAACTGTTAGCCTAGTAGTTTTTAGGTGAAAATTAGATCGAGAATTGTAGAAGGAGAACTCGAATTCAAATCCTGATAGTAGTAGTTTGTGCAATTAGGAGGCCAAAGGTTAGGTCTATAACCATTTTAGCCTCCCAGTCTCAATTAAAGGGAACCACACTGGCTTGTGACCCTATTAATTTAAGGATAGCAGGAGAATCTTATAATCTGTTAAATGCTTAACTATTCCAGTTGTGTACTTGATTGGTTATGGGATTTATAATTTTCTTATTTTTGAAGTAGCATCACATGTTAAAACTTTGTCATAAAACCTGAACAATTTAACTTTCATTATTGAAATTTTGAGTATAAGATAATAAAAAACTTTGTTCTCAACTCAGCTCATGATATGGCCCCATTTCAATAGTCTAGTGATTTTCTCACACCAATTGTGTCTCTGTTGTTGCCAACACTCTAAGCTAATATTGTTTTTAAGTGGTTTCTCAATCAGTCTGGTATGCTGAGCTTTCTTGAGCAACTCTAGTTAACATAATATTAGTCTTGACATTACCTGTGATGCCAAATAGATTTTTCTCGTTTCACAAGTTGGTTGTAATAACCACTAGGCACTAACCAAGAAAATTTTCCACTTTCAAGTTGAGAAGGCTGGTATAGGAGAAATGGTACTTCCTGATAATGCGAGGCTCAACAAGTTGCAATCACAAGCCGATGGATAACAGAGCTGTATCTAGGAAATAGTTGATGGATAATGGAGCTGTATCTAGGAAATGGTCTTGATACAATCAAATTTATAGGGGAGTGAAAGGATTTGTAGAACCAATAATATACAATTGATGCATATACTTTAATTTAGGTTAATCATGCTTGTAGGTGTGAATCACATGCCATGCTAGCGTTTTCTAATTTTTGATTCATGAACATCAGTAAACTTGTGCTTCTAGTATCATCCCCCACATTTTATTCTACATCAGCTTTATTTTTTAATTAGCAACAGTTACTATTTTCAGTCATTTATATATGTTCTAAACCTGTAAAACTGTTTTTCAATCTTCATTTTCAGATTTTCCCCAGGGGACACCAATTTAGTTTTGCGGGAGTTTGAAAAATGCGGTGTGATTTTGAAACATGTTCCAGGCCCAAGAGATGCTAATTGGATGCACATTCTGTATCAGGTTCTTATGTTCCTCCATAATGTCAAGTTTGATCCACTCAAGTTGCATTTCTTTCATTCAACATTCATATTAAAGATTCTTATCTATTTTGTGTTATCTTTCTGTGCGTACCCATTTTTTTCAATTAAAAATCATGCAAGTCAATTTTATAACCTAGAAATATGTGAAGAAAGTAAATAAAAACTGATGAGAAGTTGGTAAATGTGATGAATTGTCACGTTCATGTAACTAATCAGAAAATCTCTTCTTGGAAACAAAAATTCCCGTGATCAGTTATCTTCATTACTTAGCAATATATGTGAAAATATATGTGAAATGACTTGTCAAAAAAGAAATAAATGGGAAATGGCAAGTAAATTCTAACATAAAGGTGGTAGATGCAATGAATAATCATATTCATGTAGTTAGAAAAGTTTTGTGGGGAAGCAAGAAGTTCAGCAAGTAAACAGTTGTTCAATCTTAACCTACTTGGAAAAGGTCCTTTATCTTTTGTACGAAAAAACCTTGCAAGATATCCTTTCAAGAATTATATGCAAAAATGGGAATAAAAAAAATCAAGGTGGTAGATGAGAGAAGTGGTCATCTTCACAAAGCTAAATAAGAAATAAAAAAAAAAAAGGTCTTACTGGGAACTACAAACTTCAGCAAGGTGGAATGAATTTATTTATTTATATTTAATTTTGTGTTGAAATAGAGGGCGAGTCTTGGCACAATGGTAAGGCTGCTTCATTGTGACATAGAGGTCACAGGTTTGAAACACAAAAACAGCCTCTCTACATGTGGAGGTAAGACTTCGTACATCTTAGTATTTGAACCTCCCCTGGCCCCACAATGGCAGGACCCTCGTGCATTGGGTTTGCCTTTAATTGTGTTCAAATAGCGCTTTTGAGTTCTCACGGTGCTCTACTTCTTTGTAGGCATATCTTATTTTTAGTGTCGATTTAGAGTTATGTTCCTTTTCTTATTTTATTTTTATTTACTTTCATTTTTTTTTTTTTATGTTGCCGGAAAAACCAGCTTTGTTTGTTCGTTACTGGATAATTACAAGGGTAAAACAGAATAGGATGGTAGTTGGGCCTAATTACAAGTAGAGAAAACTCCACTACCGCTTCCCCACCCCCCCCGGCGGGCGCGCAGGGACGATTTGGAGTACTTTATTTTGGGGTGACTTTACCCTTTTACCCCATTATTTTAGCAATAAAAATTATGATTTATAAAATGACATATTTGCCCAATAAAATATTCTCCTCCCTACATCTGTGCTCTCTCTCCTCTCCACCTACCACCGCCGCCAACAACCAAGACCCACCTTCCAACCACTGCCACCACCACTCACCCACCGTGTGTAAAATCTGATTGGAGTCCCCCATTAGTACCGTCAAAAACCCAACTAATCAAACCTCAAAAAATCTGGAAAAAGAACCCCATAAAAGGACGATCACAACAGTCGTCTCCCTCACCCTCATCACAACACTAGGTGTCCTTCTCAATTCACTTCTCATCACAAGAGAGCGAAACCTGTGCGCATATATTTATATATATGTATGGGGTTTCGGATTGGGGGTTTGAGAGGCACTGACACACACACACACACACATACATATATGGATTGGGTTCAATTTGAGGTTCTCTTGGTTCGATTGGGTTCGTCATGGGTGTGATTGGGTTCGTCGTGGGTACGATTGGGTGGCGATGATGGTGGTAGAAGTGGTGGGTGTGGCAGTGATATATATATATATGGGGTTTCGAATTGGGTGTTTGAGAGGTACTGTGTGTGTATAATATATATATGAATTGGGTTTGATTGATCAATTGGGTTCGCCGTGGGTTCAACTAAGATCGTCTTGCGATTGGGTTTGTTGTGGGTCCCGATTGGGTGGCGAGGATGGTGGTAGAAGTGGTGGGGGTGGCGGTGATATATATATATATATATATGTGTGTGTGTGTGTGGGGTTTTGGATTGGGGGTTTGAGAAGCATTGTGTATATATATATAGAATGGAAAAACTGCTACTATTGATGTCTCCGGAAGGGGCTTCTTGAAAGGAATAACCAAATTTCCAATAAGAGGCGCGGGGGAAAATGGTAGGCTCACAAGTGGAAGTGAGCGGGGAGGCGTGTTCGCGGGTCCAAATGATGCTGCAAGTAGAAAAAGTTGACCCAGTCCCCCTCCTTTGTTCCCCTAAGTTTTTGAGTTGGAGTGTTAACCCTTTTGGTGAAATGGATTTAGTTCGGTTGGTGTTTCTTAGTCAGTTTATATAATTTATTTAATTAGCATGGGAAATATTTAATTTTATTTAGCAGATATTATTTTTCTTTGATCATTTATTTAAAAAGTAATTTTTTTACTATAATAACTGAAAAAAAAAAGGTTGCTGCAGCTAATTTTTTTAATACTTTGGCTATGGGTTTCAACTTGTTTGTAAAGGATTATCTCAGGTTGAGGACACAAACTTCCTGAAGAGCAAAGCTTAGATGCTATAATTATGTGATATCAAAAAGATTTATGTGATCTACATTTTTGCATTTAGAGTTCAATACTGCAGCAGCAGTAATATAATAATGATTACTGGCTATTTAATTTCAAAATTATCTGCTATAATATTTAGGGGTTTCATTCAGCCCTGTGCCAGCACAAAGTAATGAGAAATTCTTTATCAGGTTCAAGTGTTTTCAAATGTGATATTTGCCATGTATATGATGTAGATGACTTGTGTTCATTTGTGCACAGAATTGTGTTTTTTCCTTCAGTAGTCATCTTGAACTATGTTACATGTATCTCGAGTACATGTTTATCCATACAAGCTTCAGATTTGTCATACCCGCTAATCAAAGGACACAGCCTGTTAAATATTCATATTATTTAAAATTATTATGTTACCTTTTTTTTTGACAAGTAAAATTATTATGTTACTTTTAAGTTGGGTAAAGTGCATAAAACACACTCGTTATATACAAAATGTGCAAAGAGCTCCCTGGCGTTCGTAAAACCCCCTACATTTTCAATTTGTGCAAATAAGGACAAATATTCAATTTGGGACTAACTGAACAATAAGATGACTAAAGTACCCTTATGGTATATTTTAAAAAAAAATAAAAAAATACATATATATACATATAATTTTTAACTGTACACTATATACAACTCTCACTCTCTCTTCGCTTTCCATTAAGAGGAAGATGATGCCTGCACAAAGCATTCATGGACGCCAACTCAAATCTGTTAAATTCACCCAATCAAATACAAATATAAACATGCCGTAATAAATCCTGCTATGAATCTAAGACATACAAAAAAATTAGTCAACTGATACCATCAGAAACCCTTTCATAGAACCACTACTGCTGTCGGCGTCAAGCCCACAACGAAGATGACAAGGCTTTGGAGAAGACAACTCGCACCGTTGCCCCAGAGCACACTTTTTCCTATCTCTAGTTCTCTCTGTGTGATTTTTTCAGTTCCATTATCAAGGGTTTAGGGTTTTATAGGTTGTGGATTTTGAAGTACTATTGGTCTTTTACGAAGAACATCTTGAATTTTGTGGAATAACAATCTTGAATTCTATTTATTCAGGATATCATATTTGTAGGCACAAAATGATTCCATTCCAATGGTTTCTTTTATTTATTGTTTGAATTTTTGTGAGCGGAGTTGGATCTGGCCTACTTCTTTATGAGGCTGAAAGATGTTGGGTTCTCCATATGTTCTTAATGAGCACTTCAATGATCTTATTTGAAAACTGTGTCTTTTAAAATCAAAGCACTTGTCAGAAGTCTGGTACTATATCCACATAATTTGTCGGATATTGTTCAATTGAGTGGGGGAAGAAGGAGGTGGTTGCGAGCTTGGGGTAGAGGAGGGGTGCATCGATTGCCGTCTGCGCGGCGACAAGGTCTTGATGTTGATGGAAAGGAGCTGCAATCGGTGGTGAGGAGCTTCCATGTACTACTACTGGTAGAAGATGGAGAAGAGGAGGCAAGAGAGAGACGTTGGCAAATACAGATGTCGGTAAATACGGAAGTCGCCAGAAAAAATGAAACTTTCCCTATGTATATACATATATTTTTGTATATAACATTTTATATTTGTATATTTTTCTTGCTTATTATATTATATTTAACTACCATTTTCAAACTGTTAATTATATTTAAAATAATGTCTTTATGTAATATTGTGTTTAATATAGGCATGTCACTAAATTCTGAGGTAATAATTTTATAAAATTGAGTAGTGTAATTTGTTTTTTATGTGCATGTCCAGCCAAAAGTGTGGAACACATTCCATACCCATGTCTGAGTATTGTATGTCTGAGATGGGTGCTTCACCTACATTTGAAGTATTTAACATAGATCTTGAAGAACATTCGAATTTGCTGCATTTGCCCTATTTTACTATTCCCTGCCAATAGTAGCTGTTGATTGTGAATTAAGTGGTTTTGTTTTGCAGTAGTATAACAGTTATTTATATATTTACTTCTTTGCTGGTGTAGAGTCGATCTGATGCGCAGAAAGCTCTCAGCAGGAATGGGATGCAAATAAATGGAGTACTCATCGTTGGAGTGAAGCCAGTGGATCCAGTACAACGCCCGGCTCTGAACGAAAGGCTTAATAATAAAGGATTCATGACTTTACCTCTTTCACCACCCAATAAAAGCATAGAGCCCCACCCTTTGAGGGCCTCTCCTCACCCTTACTATCTTCAAAATGGTAGCAGCGGTGCTCGGCATTCAGCTGGGACCATTGCCACCCCTGCAAAGTCTATGGTGTCCAAAATCATGGATCTAATGTTTGGCATTTAGTTGAGCTTCCAAGTTCACATTTTTTCTTCTGTAATGTTCTCTTGATCTTCTGTGGTGTGCTCTCTTTCAAGGATGGCAAATGTATTAACTGCCCCTTCCGGCAAAAGACGTGAAATTCAAATACAACTGAGGGTCTCGGTAAATCTTCCTTCTTTTCGATAATTTTTTTCCCCATAAATTGTGTCCAGTAGCTTGGACTGGTTGATCAGATACTTAAAAGTACTTGGTTTGTCAGATTGAGAGATGTGGCTTTCTTGTAGTTGTGGCTATGGATGTTGTAGTAGAGCAGAGTATTATTACTCATACCAGATTTGAAGATGATAATTTTTCTTTTTATGGTGGTTTGGAGGAGTATAGAACAACTTCAATTTTGTGCTCACTGTATTGTTTATAATAGTTCAATATTATCCTATGTCTTGTGGAGGTGCTCTTTTCTTCGTTTGTAATGGTGTGTGTATTTTTGGATGGATACTAAACTCTCTCACTCGAGTTTATACCTTTAAAATGCTGCGGTGGACTATAGAGCCCCGGAATTATCTCATCTACCTTCTAAATTAGAAGATTGATCATGGGCATAAAATGGGTGTGGGAATTACTTGCGAAGGTTAAAAGTAAATAATAAGTAAAATGTTTGTTAAAAGTATATTTAGATTGTGGCAACATGGGCTGCAAAAGGGTGGAGTTCATGAATAGTTTGGACTCCAATCAATTGTAGTATGAACTTTAATTAAGTTTGTTTTTTAAAGTGTTTGCCAAACGAGCCTGGTCCGAATAGGTCCTTTACATGATTTTTTTTAACTAAAAAAAAAAAAAAAAAAACCTTTTTTTATCAAATTTTATTTTATTTTTTTATTTTTATTTTTTTTATCATTCTTTTCTATTATATGCTATGTTTCCTTCAAAATTTAATTTTTTAAAATCATTTTTAATTACTTCTTTTCATCTAAGTTTTGGTCAACTTATTTGTCGCATGTACTAAGGATGTTCATTTGATTCGTTAGCATGTACTAAGGATGTTCATTTGATTCGTTAATTTCGTGAAACTGATCCGATCTAAATCCAATCCGTGTGGATAGGATCGTTTTCTAACCTCATGGTTAAATTATTTATCAATCCGTAACAAAATCATGAGGCTAAAAAGTCGATCCGATCCACTGACCGATCTAATTTGTTCAAATTTATATATAAAAGTTATATATGTACATTATTTATATTTTCTTTATTCTTTTATTCTTTTAAGTTTTACTAACTTTTAACCCTAAACACTTAATGTACTAAATTTTTACTCTAAAAGACTTACTAACTTTTAAATTTTATTAATGGTTGAAAATTCATCTGTTAGGTCATAGTTAAAATAACACTAGCTTAATAATTGTCCTGTAATTTTTTTTTCCCATAAAAATAGATGAGTAAAATGCTTATAATAGATTGCCTTGGCTGGTAGTTCGGTTTTGTTGAATTTGTCTTGGCTAGTAGTTCCTTTGTAGGATAAAGTGAATATCATACCTTACTTCAATTTAACCATGAATCCAACATTCAAAAATTTTAACCATTAATGTTATTTAAATTGAGGTTTCGCTTTCAAACTACACTCCTGACTTAACTGGTGCGTATATTATCGGGTCGATACACATGCTCTAAGGAAAAAAGAAAAAAAATGCGATTTAAGTTCCTAATAGGGGTACACAAAAATCTGGTCAAACTGAAAATCCAAACCGGATCAGACCGAACCGAATAGTTTGGTTCGGTTTGCTAACGGTTTAGTTCGGTCATGGTTCCAAATTTGTGAAACAGTAAAGATACAGTTTGGTTATGATTTGAGGTCTTTTAGGACCGAATTGGACCGAACCGAACCGTTTAGTGTTATATATACATGCGTGTGTTAAATTTTACATATAATATAATATAATATAATCCTACAATCCAAATCACTTAGAAGTTTGTAACAACTATCAATCCTACGGTCCACTCTTAATTCTTAGGTTTTATCAACTTATTAGATGATTCTTATTTTTTATTGATTTATGCTAGCTGGTTTTCTGGATTGTGGCTAAATGTTTGTTGTTGAATTAGTAATTTTCAATGTATTAGGTTATTAATAATTCTGAATGTATTCACTTCAGTTCCGGAAGTAACATAGAGAATAATGGATTAAAGGTTCTGAATATATTATTAGCAGTTCTGAATGTGTTGGTTAACTTGGTTTATTATTGTGCATTTGCAATTTTGATATATTTATACTTCGGTAGCAGGAAAAAAAAATTTGTGGAACCGAACCAAACCAAACCGATTTCTCACGGTTTAGTTTTTTGGTCAAATGGTCTGATTTGGTTCTAGATTTTTTAGAACCGTTAAGATCGGTTTGGTTCCGAAAAACTCTCAAACTGGTCCAAACCAAACCGTGTGCACCCTTAGTCCCTAATCACACAAAATGAATGCGTGTGATTATTTCGTTAGATGAAAATAATAAGTAAAACCAACAGGCCTGTGGCCTAGTGGTACAAGGCTCCTACTTTCAAAGGGGGGTCAGGGGTTCGAACCTCAGTGGAGGCCGTGTGTGAGTCCAAACTAGGAAAAAGAAAAAGAAAATAATAAGTAAAAAATTAAAAAAATTTCAAACGTTTTAAAATTTTGATTCATAGAAAAAACAAAATTTTGAAAAAAATCACTTTTCATAATTACCTAATTTTTTCATACAATTTTCTTTCAAAAAAATACAATGAAAAAAATAAATAAATAAAATTTTCACTTTCACTTTCACTTCATTTGCTTTTATTTTTTCTTTAAAATTTTCCACCACTAATTTTTGTCTCACCAAACGGACGAATGAAAAAAATAAATAAATAAATAAAAATTTACTCTACGAGCTACCCAATAGTTTTGTCTTTATCTTTGTAAAACGGAATTACTGCTATGATTTACGGATCAGGATCCTTTCCAGTTGTACAGTGTCCTATTTTCTCCATCGGATTAAATGAACAGTATTAATTAAGGAAGGTTAAAATCTGTATTAGTTTTATATACAATTTTCGTATATATATATATACACACACACACACACACACACTGTTGAGAAATAAGAGTTCTCCTTCCCTTTCTTATGAATTTGCAGCAATCCATTTGAAATTACAAATCCTGCCCATTCAGCCTTTCTTCTCTCCCAAAATATTCAAATTTTGATTTGTTTCCAATTAGAAGCAAGGCTATATTTTTCCTTGCATGTGTTTTCATAAATTTCATCTTATTTCTTCATATAGTAGGTTATTTTTGTCCAAATTTAAAGAGGAACATCGGAGCAAAGAGGCACAATAGGTACGATTTCTAATTTTCAGAAGAAATGAATGGCAGAAGAATAAAAATAATTACTAAGAATAAAGGGACAGAAGTGGAAGAAACCCAGAAATAGTAAATTAATGTTGTATTTTAATGATTTGGTTAATGTGTAAACTTATTTGGTTTAAAGTAGATACAAACATCTCTAGAGGTCTATTTAGATTTTCTTCTGGAGTGGGAGGGTTTTATTGTGCACTTATTTGTGGGTTTTAATGCTTGTTTGTGAGGAGAAAAAATAAGAGGATTTGTAGACTACATGAGTGGCCGAAAAAGGAATGTGATAAGATGGAAGAGAATGTTTCAAATAACAATTTCTTACCAATCATTTATGCTTGTGAGTATTGGAGTGTGATTTAATTTTATTATGTTTTAAGGGAACAAAGTTAAGTTTTGTTTGGGTTGGTTTGTAGGATCAAAATCCTCTTTGCCGCAACAATATATCTGTCCCAGCCGGTGAAAATAGTTTAGGATATATGTTACGAAAATGTTTGGATGTTAGCCTACTTGCATCGCAACAATTTCCTATGTGCATCCCAACTTTCTCCTTACCAACATCCCAACATGTGCATCCCAACTTTCTCCTTACCGACATCCTAACATGTGCATCCCAACTTTCTCCTTATTGACATTCCAATATTTTCCTAACAGACATCTCAATATTTTTGTAAAGTGAATCCCCAACATTTTCGTTACGTGCATCCCAATATTTTCGTAACGTGTATCTCAAATTATCCTCATCGATTGGGACATATCTACTGTTGCAACAAAGAGGATTTTTATCTTGGTTTGCGACCCTGTTTTATCAGGGATATACTTGCTTGATACATGCTAAGAAATCAATGAGATATATGTTAAATTTCATTGGTGATAAATGTTAGAACATACTTGGGATGTAGAACTTTCAATTTTTTTGTTAGTTCAATATTATGCATATGTGAAATGGATGTGTATAATGTTTGTTTGATATGTTATAGCTTTTGTATTTGAGCCATTCAGATGGAAGTAATAATATTGAAAACACAACAAACAAACAAAATATTTCTATTATAGAACCAGAAGTCATCAAATGGAAACCAAGGTTTACTATGGAATTTGATAGTGAAGAAGAGGCATATGATTGTTACAATGCATATAGTGGTCGAGTTGGTTTTAGCATCCGGAAGGTGTATAGTAATAAAGTTAATGGAAGAATTACATCAAGGTTGTTAGTTTGTATCAAGGAGGTTCTTAAGGGGTTTAACAAACAGGATGTATTTAGAAAGATTCCCCAGGTTGAAACATGAACCAATTGCGGTGCACGAATGGTTATTAAATATGACAAGACTAAGACAAAGTACATAGTTTATGATTTTATAGAAACTCACAACCATCCATTCATAAATGATGAATGTAGCCATATGATACCGTCCCAGCGACGAATTTCCTCAGTCCAGGCCATTGATGTTGACTTGGCTTTGGATTTAGGAGTTGTGGCTCATAATGCATATGAGTTAATGGGAAAGCAAGCTGATGGAAAAGAATCAATTGAGTACTTGAAAGTGGATCTTAAAAATTATCTAAGAATCCGAAGATAAAAAGAGATTTTTTATGGAGAGGCGGGATGGCTTGTGTAGGACCCAACAATCAATATTATCCCTCCAATTACACCATTACAATACAAATCCTTAAATTGTGCCATACCATTGGTATAAACAAACTTTGAAAATATTAATTATTATTCTCAATTGTCTATATTATCTAGGACTCCTCTTTGATGCATGTACTCGCAATAACGAATAAACCATTTTATCAACCTACCAGTTATGACCCCAAATGGAAAATAAACTTCTAACACAACATTGGTACTCCCACAATATTATTCGCAGAAATATCTCCCCACAGTCACTTTAATATGGAAAGTGACTGCACAAACACTAATGATCTCTATTGATCATACATAATAACGAACATGCAAGATACTTTGGAAATAATGATGGCTATTGTCACGATCATTCCTGTCTTCTCTTTCGACATTTCATAATTTGATACACCTTATTCTGTATTCTACACACTTCAATATTTATATATCTCTAGTTAACTCATGCCATAAA